ATATATATATATATATATTTCACTTCTCTTTTTACACCCACCCTTTCAAGAATTAGGTCCCTTTTCCATTCTTCAATTCTTCCATTTTCATCTTGATGGCTTTCACTTGTAGATAAATTCATGTCACATAAAAATAAAATACTTTAGGATCCATTAAATGTAATTTTTACAATGTTGCGTAAATTTTATCATTATATAGATTATATGTTTTCGGTAAAATTTTGAGTTATGACGTTAACGAATAATTTTGAGAAATGAAAGTAATTTCACTTCATTAAACACGGTTTTTTTTTTTTCTTGAATTAGGGGTTGAAGTCCCCTTATTACATGGTTAACCCCCCAAGAAAAAAAAAGTATTCAATATAAATACCCAATTATGTATCAACAAAGAGGAAAGATTTGAGGGCGTAAGAAGGGCAAGTACATGTAGTAAGCCTCTATCCATCGTCCATTGGGAGTGATTTGCATGATGATCTTCTTCAACATCCTTAGGGGACCCACCATGACCCCCCACTGAACCACCAAGCGCGACCCTAAGCAAAAACCTCGACGTTTGTTCCCCAGCCGTATGGTGCCGCCTCTCCTCCGCCTCAACCGCCTCCTCCCGAGGCGGCACCACCCCACCAACATTGTGGAATTTGAAAGCATTGATGTGGTTACAGAAGTGCCTTTCCTTAACATTGCTACTTAACAGGTTCCATATATGATGATTCAATTCTTGTTAGATATATAGGGGTTATAGGACTTATCAATGATGTTAATCATGACGGTTATAATGGCAGCAATTATAATAATCATGACCTTTAAGGCGTGATGCTCTTCTTCAATAAAGTATTGGTTTTGGAGGGGATTTCATTCAAATTTTTAACTCTATACCATGTGGAGTCATGATTAAAGAGATAGGGCTTCTTGTGCTTAACTTGAAATGGGTTTCAAAAAACAAATTAAAGTACTTGAGAGTTGAGATGCATCAATCAAGATGAGAATCCTAAAAGCTTTCCTTCCTTTTGCTTTCTTAAGCATCTAGCTAGACTAGCTTAAGAAAGAAGATCATAAAGTTAATCTTTTTTATATAAAAATTGTTTTTGATAAGATCATGATTTACCTAACAATTAGATCAAATTGGCTTTGTACTATAAGAACCTATTCATGGATAGATAGTTTATGTTTTGAGTTTTAATTGTCACTCGATCATTGGTATATTGCAATAATTTTTCATAAATTTCTATTGTGAAAACATAGTTGTTACTATGATCACAAATAATTAGGCTGTAAACATAGTTTTTTTTTTTTTTTTTCGATCTTGAGTTGTTAAATGAAAAGTAACTCTTTTATATTTTTAAACCCAATACATTTATATATCATGAGATTTGAATTTAAAATCTTTTATTTTTATTAAAAAGAAATTTATACTAAACTACTTAAGTCATTTAACGAATTTCTTATAATTATCTATTGAATTTCTTATAATTATCTATTGCAGAAATGGGAGGGCTTATACAATGGACCAAACTACATATATTTTACATGTTTATTCTTCTTTAATCATTCCTTCAACCAACATGGACTAAAATTGACATTTGACATTAATAACATGAGAAGTAGGAAGTTTAAACCTCAGACTAATAATTGCCACTCGATACTTCTTCTTTTCTTTCTTTCTTTTTTCCCCCTTTGGATGCAATTTAGTAAAAAAAACCTAAATCTTTTTTTTTCTTTCTTTAATTTAAAACTGCATAATGAGAGACTATCTCTTCATCTACATATTATATAACTTAAATTTATGACTTTTTATTCTTATAAAAAAATGAAAAAAATAAATTTATTGATAGACTTAAGTGGTTAGCAGCTTGAATAAAAAAACCTCAATATGTCATTTAACAAATAAACTAAGATCTTTATTAGTAGATGTACCCAGAAAAAAAATAAAAATAATTAGTAGTAGAACATGGGATTTCAGGATTCATTAATAAATTATACTAGCAAAAGCAAAAGGAAATATTATCTTCCTTGGAAATAATTTGTTGTACAAGTTCTTGTGTTCCTCAGATTATAAAGGGCCTCTTTACAAAAGGATTGGGCTTCGTAGATTGAACCGTCTAGCAGCCTACTGCCTATCGTTCTTTTGATTATTAGAGTCCTATTGAAGATTTGGGCCTGTTTTTCTTTCCTTTTTCTTTTTAATGCAGATAGTTAGGGTATCATAATATCAATTTATGTGCACTAAGGGACGAATTTTTCCCAAAACCAGTGTGGGACATTTTCATTTATTTCAGTTTCCTTGAATTTTCTTGATTTGTTTTTGAAAATTATTGCAGAATTTGGAAAATTTCCAAAATATAAACCTTCAAAAAAATTAATTTTCAAAAAAAGACGTTACTATTTTATGGGATTATAAAAAATAAAATGTCTTAG